CCTCACCAGTGAAAAGAGCATTCATGGCGTTTGGCAAGAAGGCAATTCGTTTGCAATGATGAACAGTTGGCAACATGGCTAGCGTCTGTATCGTAAAATATTACGAAAAATAGATCGATCTATCGATGTGCAATATTTTGTGTTGAACAATGAAAAAGTGCCGAAATAGTCCTGAAAAAAACGGAACAAGGCTGTTAATACATGGTAATATGATTATTTTCTTGAGTATACGAATGTACCATTAAAATTGGTTACAGTACAGGTATTATGGGCACGTTAGGTAATTTGTCGTGGACAGATCTTTTCGAATCTATCAAGATCAGGATCAGTAAAGTCTATAAAATTATACACTAGCTGCGACTCCTTATTATTCTCGCGAAATTACTACTGGATTTAATTACTTCACAAATAGAAAATTTAAGAGAATACTTACGAGCACTTCTAATCACGTCTGATTGCCAGGGCATCTTGGAGGGAAAAGAACGATTCGCCACCTACCACCACCTCCTTAGTCAAGTGTCATCTATACTAATCTTCACTGACTTCACAAGTTAAAAGTCTAAATAGAAAATGCCCATAATTTCGACCTAAAAAATCGAAAAATGTCAATAGAAATATAAAGCCTCATAAATGTTAAATAACAAAATATTTGTGTTAAATCATAAAAATATGCTTCGAAAAAAAAAATCACTAGCATATATCGATTAATCGATTAATGAGACAGTGAGTATATGCTTCTGGCTTTAGCTTTTTCGAAGTGTGAAAATAATCGTTCTATATAATCTATGACTATATAACTCACTAGCATTCCTAGATTAGGAAAAAATGACATAAAATTAATTTATTAATACAGTTTAAAATAATTAGTACAAGAAATATTGGTTTATGATCAGACAATCGAATGAAATATTTGAATATTTGGAAGCTTGAAATAAATGTATGTCAGTGAAATACAAGTGATGGTCTAATGATATGAAAATTTTACCGCCACATCTATAAATGTAAATTCATTTACAATGTATTGAATTATTAGTATATTTAGTAATTGTAATAAAAATAGGAAAATATTTAAATCGCAAACAATGAAAAGGCATCAATAGGTCTGTGCACCGAGAGACATATGGTTACTTTTAACACGTTATTAAAAATAAAATATTGAATGACACTTGTAAGTTTCTATCATTTCTTATTCTAAAATTTTTAAATTATATTTTTTTAGCCGCAATCAAATTGTAACTTAATTTAATAACCTAAAACACACTTCGAACGTCACGTACACTACGATAGATGATACACTGGAATTGCGTTGCGAATTGATGAATGAAAAAATCACTGGACAGGGGTGTAAATCTTTTATTAAAATAATTCATATAATGTACTTTTGCAATGTGTGCTTTTGCAAGAATGTCAATGTTGAAAATGTTTTGAAAATTGGTTATAATGTAGACACGATACGATAGACCATTGAACCACACTGCACTGCTGTTACGCGTCCGAAGAACTATAAAGTGGATTGACAGTCTGCTTCTTCGAAATCTTTCTTATCTGGACCGTTTATTTATTTATTTTCAGTCACAGAAATCTCAGCTTGATCTCCAGGCGAGGTAGGTATATTCCGAAGCACGTGGTTGCGAGAAACAGTCACAGCAGACGACCCTCTCTACTTTGTGTCCGCAGTACGAAACACAACGCGCCACTTAGCACTTATCTTTCCACTAAACGATTTATCTACATTCTTCTCATTCGTGAAAACGATTTATCTGAAAATCATTAATGTTAATTAACATCGGCAATTTCGTTGGTAAACAGTGTTAATCATGTTTCTGACTTGATATTTATGGATATGACGGTTTTAGTTTTCTATATTATGTAAATAATGTGTTTCATAAAAATTAAACCTGGTCGACTTACCCTAGGGTACATGACTATTTGAAGCTTCTATAGTCTTTCAACTTAGTGCCCTAACTATGCTTATGTTCGTGGATTTGCGGGGTGGAAATGATTCGTTTAAAGAAGCAGGTATGCGTAATTATATTTTTATAATTTTTTTGTTTTTTAATTTTGAATAATTTTACAGATTTTTTAAATTATAATGATACTTTTTTAATTAAATGACATAATGATAATTTTGTATACTTTTACGCATAGGTTTGTTTGAACAGTCAGGTAAACTGTTGAAAATAGCTACAGCTACGCATTTAACAATTCGTAATCAACTACTAAGTGAATTATAATATTTTCATATTGAAATGTAGTGTTCATAATTACTAAAATATGAGAATATATTACATGACGAATATTTGGTGAAAATAGTCTGTCAGAAGTTCAGATAAATTATTAATAATATTTATTTTTTAATTAGGAAAAAGTTATACAGTCTTTATTTAACATGCATGCAGTAGGAAATCATCAGAAAAATAATGAGAATCATCAGAATTACAGGTAAATGATCACCAACTTTTATTCTACCAGTAAATGAATTTTAACATTTTATTCTTTTTAGAAACATGAAGGTGTTAGATGAAAGGCATTCTACAGAACAAGGGAACAATATGATGTCTCAGAAGTTCAGATAAACTGCTTACATGTATTTTTTAAGTAGAAACAAAGTAGGTGTTATTTTCTTCATCTGAATCTAATGGGAAATAATGAAAGCAAATAAGATTGTAAGAATTACAGATCAACAATGAGTAATTTGCATTTTACCACTAAATACATTTTAATATTTACATCTGTTTATAGAGATGAAGCTGTTAGATGAAAGGCATTCTACAGATCAGAAGTATTGTACAATTTTTCAGAAGTTCAGGCAGACTGCTTACATGTATTTTTTAAGTAGAAACAAAGTAGGTGTTATTTTCTTCATTTGAATCTAATGGGAAATAATGAAAGCAAATAGGATTACAAGAATTACAGATCAACAATTAGTAATTTTCATTCTACCACTAAATGAATTTTAATACTTTCATCTTTTTACAGAGGTGAAGCTGTTATATGAAAGGCATTCTACAGATCAGAAGTACTGTATAATTTCTCAGAAGTTCAGGCAAACTGCTTACATTTATTTTTTAATTAGAGACAAAGTAGGTATTAATTTTCTTCATTTGAATCTAATAAAAAATAATGATAGTACCAGTAAATAAATATTTTTATATTAAAATTTAGTATTTGTAACTTCTAAAATGATATGTTACAGGAGAAGTAGATCCTACCATATAAAACAGAGGTAGAAAATAATTTCTCAGGAGTTCAGATAATTTGTTATCAACATTTAAATCTTAATTAAATTTTTGATGGATCTTTTTAACATAAATACAATTGAAAGTAAATTTGCAACATGCTGTTAAGTATTAACACGTAAAATGAAATATTAACCTTTTGTTTTAATCTTGAATATGTGTTGTAGGTATCTTTAATACTTCATAGGAAATGCAGTTGAAAATGTAGATAGAAAATCATTTCTCTAAAGTGAAGGTATAGTTATAACATTATGTGTTTCAGTTGTATATTAAGTACATTATATTTTGAATAGAAATTCAAATGTTTTCTTCTGTTATGCAGTGAAAGATAATGCAACTTTAATTTTTACTGCAAAATGTTTAGATGTAACATGTAGCAAGTTAAGTGTAATAGCCCTAAATCAAGACAAAGGGGTAATAATGAGTCAGCTCCATAATAGAATTTCAGAAGTTATTTTTATTCTGAAATAAAAGAACCATCAATAATCTTCTAGACTTTTTCAATGAATGTGCAAAATATATGTAATTATATTAATACAATTCAATTTGCATTCAATTTATTTCAACGTTATTAACAAATTGTTACTAGCAAGTCAGCTTTTAATTTTTCTACATTGTTATATCAAACATAATAACAGTATCACAAAATTATCATTATTCTAAATTTAAATTTTTTGGTTAAACACGCTTTCTCAATAATTAAAGCATATTTTTCTTGCTTCTACCATGGAAATAACAATTGTTTAATAAACTAAATGTGGAAATAATCCGTTTATTATGATTTCAGTGTTTATTGTCCCTCGTGCTTGGCATACACGTTATCGTCATCATGAGCTATTCATTTACTATTTGATTTCTGCTTTTTTTTGTCGGCGCTTTGTATACATTTAACGGAAATACAATAATAGATAATCAAGGGAGGCAAAGTTACACAAAGTAGAGGTAAAGTTTACCACGATTTTCTAATTATAAATAAATCACTTATCATTTTTATTTTTCAACGTTCACTGTTTACAAAAATTGCTATAACGTTCCTATATTCTTAATACATCATGCCTGTAAATTCATTAAATAACAAAATAATGATTTAATTTCTTTGGAACAACATAATAATACAGTAATTGATAAAAACAATAATATTTAGTGATTAAGTATTAATTTGTATGCTCAGTCAAAAACATTCAGTGCCAAACATTAAGTGAACCACTAAATTCCTTTATCTTCCAATTGGAATATTCTGTACATTGTAATAACTTTCAATAACAATTGCAAATTTCAGTAACTTTTAATAGCAACTGTAAATTATAATATGTATTAGTAGCAATTGCAAATTGTAACAACTTTCAATAACTTTTAATAACAATTGAAAATTGTAATAACTTTTAATAATAATTCCAGATTATAATAATTTTTAATAACATTTATAATAACGTATGTCTATACATTGTAATTATAAATTAATATAAATATTCATTTATACTAATACGCTAATTTTTTGTGATACACAGGCAAGCGTGCTACAATTATGCAATAAAGCTGATGATCGGAAGCGAGGCTGCGGTCACAACATCACAACAGCACCTGTAATTATACCTGCGTAACGTGAATAATGCTACCGACACGATCTACGACCCAGTAGCCGATTAGGATTGTTGAACGGTAAAGAGTGGGGAGGGGTCCGTTCTGGGGCCACCTTGTAGCATTCGCTTTCGCTGACCAACCGTGCACGTGCTCGAGGCCGTAACACGCACACGTACACATCAACACATGCACGCGGGACGGTAACGCGTGTACCAGTGCTCTTTCATCTTGCCAGTCGGTTTCTCTGCCTCTTCGTGAGCGGTCTGAATGAATGGCAGGCTCGTCACACGCGATCCTTTCGACCGCTTGAACGACCGATTCTCCGGTAACAAAGTGCCGCTTTCTATCTCGCTCGAGCCGTGATGCAGTTACACGCGCCGCAACGCCTTGTCCTCCCACTGGTCCTTTTGACCCTTCAGCAAGTGTTAACTCAACCTGAAGAGCCTTTGCCAGCGCTCCTAGGAGGAATTGGAAATGTTGCCACGAGTGCGACTAATTTTCGTGAGTTTCCTTGGGTTTCGTCGTTCTTGGTTCATCTTCTTGCCCTCTTCTCTTCATCTTGATGAAAGGTTTTATTACGAAAAATCGATTGAAATTTATATTTGCCTTGTTGCTTTGATTGATCGATGAGGCGTGAACGTAACAGCACATTGAAAGGAAATGAAACTGATCTTCTACGGATTATTGTGTTCAATTACTTTTCAATGATCAATGAGAGAATGTACTATTATAGTATACATCTAAAACCGCAGTATTTACACGGTAGATGCACGTGGTACTTGTTTAGCTATGCTGCAATTTTTAATTGATGAATAGATGTAGTGAAATTTAGAAGATAAACAGTTGTATGTAGAAATTTCGTAGAGAATCGTGTTCTTTTGATTAATCCGCATTGGGCTTCTAACCATGAAAGTTGTAAAACAATTTAATTAACTTTTCGTGATCGATGAAATGATATTACGTTTCAGCTTAGGTTTCAATTCAATTTCGCGGAACCTTGGAATATAAGGTAAAGCGTGTGTAACCTGATCTTGAAATTTTCACAAGCTTACGCGATCGTTTCTAATTGATTAGTGGAATTAACAGCAAACAGGAAAGTTATTCTCATTATGTAATTATGATCCTTGTAATCCCTGATATCTATATCGTGGCAAAGTCAAGGAGAGTTCATTTATTATTTTTATTATGTTCTTAATTGGTAACTTACCTTTTCACGTAACATTTGCGCAAGTATGTCAATATTCTGCGCTCTAAACTGGTTCGGCGAAAGAAAAAGAATCTACTCTACCCGGAAATGTTACTAACTTGAATCATGACGTATTTTGAACTGAATTTAAATGAAAAAAAGATAACGGAAACCATCGATTAACGAAAGAATCATCGTTACAAGTAATTTACATAATTGCATCTGCAATTTGATTATTACGTTTAAGAGGTACCTACAATTAGTTATCAACAGAATCCCTGGCAATACGAAAGAGCAGTGATTTATGCAGACGCAGAGAAAACCGATATAGTTAATTATTTGCATTTTAAATTATATCATTAATTATTCACTGGCACTAGGTTTGCGGAACGCGTCAATTCAACGTGAATCGAATTTTATAAATATTACTTGGTAAATATTTATGTCAATTTTGATTGATGCCATTTCACGAACATACATTTTTACACTAAAACTATCGGGAAATCAGAATGATTTATTTCCAATTTTTTATAAAAATTAGAACAATGCGTTTTTTGAGATTCGAATAGTCTTATAGTCTTGTACCTGTACAAGTACATAAATTTAGTTATAAATCTTTCGCAAAGAACGCCTTCATAATTTAAATAGTTGCAAAATAAAAATTCTGAAGTGGGTCAATTTGACTCGTCCTGTTGTTTTAGTGTTAATTGTCTATTCGTAACCTGGGTCAGATCCTACAGTCTTTTTCAACCCAAATCGAGATTAACTTTCACTGTGATTTTTTTCAAGGGGCAAATGAAGGTTAAAACTCTAGTTTGAAAGATCCGAATGAACGAACATTAATTTTTCTAAAACCAGTGGAAAAAAATTGTACAATAAATCTCCGTAAACCTAGTTCAACTATAAATTTGAACATCAATATTTCTTGCAACTAGTAGAAAATGCATGCAGTGGTCAGACAAGTTTTAATTTTATGAAAGATTGCGTGGACATTCAATTTACTATAACTTGTTACCGAAAATGGTACCGTGAAACACATTCAAGGACAGTCAACCAGTTCGCGGTTTTTAACAAGTATACTAGTCATGTACAATAAAAATGGCAAGGTTTTGTTATGACGAGTCATAACTCACTACACTACATGTATTTTATACTAATTGCAAAAAGTATTCATGTTTAAATTTATATTCGAATAACCTTAACATTATACAGAGTATACTCGTCATAACATAGCGAATTTACTTTTTGCGACACATTTTAGATTACACACTGTTCAAAAAGGTCGCAACAGCTAACTGATTAAGAAGATAATGAAATCTTTTTTGTTACTCGAGCATCATTCTTACGAGTCATAATTACAGGAATTGTTTCATTATGCTCACGCTGTTGCGGCTGCCGAATATGTCACGCGAATCTAAAAGAAATCATGTATGCCTGCGTCCTTCGATGGAGCCGGCTTTCCGTGGAAATCGTTTTCAGCGTTTTAATTTCTCGTTTCCGGAGACGTGAGCTGCCTTTGTGCACATTCCCCGGAAATTTCGCGGCATCATGCGCGGCGTAATTCCGCGTCCTCCCTGTGGCTACTATCCACAGGCAATGATTAATTCAATTTTTCAGTGAAAGAGCGTGATGAAAATAGCAATTTAAATTAACTCGTAGAAACGGATAGCTTCTTAATGAAATTCTCTTGAGACGACAGGCTGAAGATGGTCTGGATCTGTTTGTTTATTCTATTACCGGGCCATTCTACGTTCAATTGTTCCACTATTCAATTACTTGCGTGCACTATTGCTCTTGGCTGCAGTGTTCAGAGTGTCATTCTTGTTGAAGCATATTTGTTCATCCTATTTTTTCTCTTAAATTAATCGTTACACTTGTGGATCTCGATGATTTAATTTTGTTCTGATCGATTAATCAGTCTGAGATAATTAACAGGAGTAAATTATATTCTTGTGTGTGTTTATGTAATACTATGACGTATGAAGTAATGAATAATGGGAACTTGAGCAGATTTTTACGCTTGAATGTTATTTGTATGTTGTAAAAATGATATATTTTATTTAATGAAATATAGTAACCGTGGAGACTGCTATTGAAACAAATGCTGATAGCTAATGGGTTAAGGAATGTGAATATTATATTATTTTGCGAACAGCGCTATCCGTTTCGACAGTTTTGATTTATTTATGAGCATATTCTACGACTTAGTTGCCGAGGGAACGTGACGGATAGTAATGTGGAAGTTAATGCGTTGCCTGGTCAGACTACAGAAGCAGGCGGAAAGATTTTTATGAATTTTTTTATGGAGAAACTTTAAAACATGGTCTAAATGAAACTTTTCTTTGCAAGGCAAATGTATTAAAAGTTTAGGTGATATATATTTTGTATATGCAGCCGGCTATTCACGTTCGCTGCCTTTCACCGTTTTCTCATCTCTTGAAACTATACAGGTACATGATATCGTACAGTACAAGTAGGTACTTTATTTTTCATTGCCTTGTTGTTTCTTGAGAATCAACTTAAAACGTAGAAATTTTTTGCTTTCGTACATACTTACAAGAGATCGAGAGGAAGATACTACAGATACATAATGTAGTGTACAATATACTTTATTATTGCTTTATTTAACGTTTGTACAGAATTTATCAATTGAATTCTATCGTATTCATGTATACTACGCGAAGTTAAGTTATGTCAATAGCGTTCAACATTATCCACGTTTTTTCTTAACCGTAATAAACTTTGTAAAGTATTTTCGGATACGGGAAGATGGCTGTATGCATAATACGGTCTCTGGCTTGTAAGTTTCTGCTATTTTAGCGTTAACAAGTACAATTTTCTGCCAAAGAATACATAAAAATGACTGCCATATTATTGTTATCAGTGTGACATAACTAGCCTTAGTTCGTTCAGCTTACATAAATTTTATTTCATTTAACGTTTTTGTCATGTACTCAATCATTTATTCGTCGATAGTGGTTCCTACGATTAATATGTCGCCAATGGACTTCCTCCGGAAGGTCCACCTTCGACAATGGAGCCTTGTTGACCGTACTTCCAGAGGAAATTGCACGTTTAATCGTTTGTTGCAGTGAGTGGAATCATGCAACGACAGAAAGAACTGATACACCGAGTGACGGACACCGCCTCGGATTACAGTATGTGAGAGTTTGATCGAGCCATGCCTATAAATTGAGGGTTTTCGAACTGGTTCCGTTGCGAGCGTTCTCTATTCAGCATCAGTAACTCATAAAACCGTGTTTTGTTTATTTTTCTGTCGGAATCATTATCAGACTCAATCAAACGACCATTAAAAACAGTGTACCAACTATGTAGTAACAGTCCATAGCTGAATCTTAATAACAGGATTACTATAATATCATTTTCTCCAACGTTTCATAGACACTTATCAAGGCTTTGCCCTTTGAAGTTGATGAAACAGTATAGCAGAAATTTGAACATGATTTATTTCAGTAGTTCCCAGGCATTACAAGAGTTACAACAATATAAGAATTCCTTTGTTTACATAGTTACTAGTTTATTTAATCGTATTGCTCATACATTTTGCTAAGTCCAATGTGGTTCTATCAAATACCCTAGTATTTATATAATAGATATCATAGTATTTACTATGGTAACTGTTTTCGTAAATATCGACATCTTGCCAATCCTTGCGTGCAGACTAATCCTAGGGAAGTGATACAGCATTAACATTCTTTGAAATTACATAGCTTCCGGTACGTGTAAATGACAGTTTTACAACTGATAGCGGTAATCCGCTTAATTTGATCAGTCAACACAATCGAAACGATCTAATAGACTGACCGAGAAGCGACGTCTGCACGTGTCAAGTGTGTGCTTACTTATGGAATGACCCGGTACATGCGTCTGGCCAGTTGATCAACCGTCCGCCTTGTTTCCTTGGCCCAGAATCCATTAAACCGAATTACAATGAGGTCTGATGCAACAGTACAGTCCAACGGAATCGTGTTCGGAGATCCAGGTACACGCGAGAGCTTTTAGATCTCTTCCAGGCTTGCGGCATCGCCTCTAATCGAGACTTGGAACGCGATACTAGCCAGCCGTGTCCTGTACATGCATACACAGGTCCCTCGGATGAAATATCCGTGATTTCGTTTGCGCAAACGACGAGCAATTCCGTCGGCAACAGTTTTTTCCCTCCTCTCGCCACTGTCACGTACGCTAACGCCACTCTTCTGATGGATAGCTAACCACGTACACGCTATCTCGAATAACTGATTACTGGGGCCGGCTTGGTGGTAAAATTGATCGTTTCTGGATCCTTTGCACCAGTGAGTTATGATTCCTGCGGGCGGGGTCCGTTTTCGAGGTACGGCGAAAATTAATGAAACGTGAATTTTTAGATCAACCTGGTCGACTGTTACTTCAGCCCAGGATAAATGAAGACTCTGAAATATTTCCAGCGGAGGAGAGACCGCGATGGAATATCGGATCATCGGGAAAGTCATGAGTGACTCACGGGTCCAATTTTTTACCACCAAGCCGAGCTAATATCTATAACCTAACTATAAGCGGATACTCAAAAAATATTTCTATTCCACTGGCTGCTTATTAACATGCTTTATTCACGTATTCTGTTCTTTAATGTACACAGACACATAGCCGTGAATTCAGTGTAAGAGGAGTATTTTTGTTTCTTAGATTTTTGTTCTTATTTTTGGGAATTACTGCTGGGTTCTCTGAAAAGCACCAATGGTAGCAATTTTCCTAATTATCACAGACTTATTTAATTCTCTTTTAAATGCTGATAATAGGACATTGTTCTATGGATCAGAATGATAATACAAAGTATCTTACAAGGTCTAAACAGAGTAAGTCAAGCCTAATACATTGCAATTTTTTTTGTGCCGAATTTCATTTTAAAGAGGTGGTTTCGGCCCTTCAAATGATTAAGCTTGACTTATTTTACTTACACACAGTTTCATAATGTTTTTAATTTCCGGGTTCGATAACTTCCTTTGTTAGTAATTACGTTAATAGAATATTAAGTACAGCAATGAATTTATATATACTAATAATTCGTTCCTTGCTAAACTCAATGGTAACTTGTAGAGCTAGAGAAAGGTGTAGTTAATACGAAATCTATTCAAACGTATATAGTTCACATTATTTTGTTATAGTTAGTATAACAATGAATGATTTATTGGCACACCTAAGTGTTTTTGCAACCCTCCAAGTCGCTCAGTTTAATCTGTAACGACGCGAAGCTTATTGGGCCCATCGCTAGTGGATTGTTTGCCACACAGCTTTCCTAGAGGCAATTACGAACGTGACGAGGGAAACGGCGGTGTAAATAGGTAGTGATTGGCGTTGTTTCTTGTTTTTTCAGTCACCAGTGCGGTAGAGACCCCCAGGAATCTATTGATCAACGCAACCAGAGCAACCACCGGCATCAGTAAGTAACTGTATCACCAAGCCAGTTTTGTAACTTTCAACTAATCGACAAAAGGATAGTCGACAGTGCAACCTCCAAGGGTCTCGAGTTCAAGCTGAGGAGATTCCTGGAGAAGTTTCGCGGTCGGATGCGTTATGGGATACCGGAGCTCGGGATTCCGCCGTTGGAGCCACTTCAACTAGACGAGATTGATATAACTATCGATAATCCGGATATAGGAAAGTAAGTAAAAGATATTTTTATCGGTGCACCACCAGTCACACGTTCACGTTAGATTTTATTCACAGCAAGCAGACTTTGAGACTCAAGACTTTCGGATCAGACCATGAAAATATTTATGAAACTGTTGTGGAGGATTTAGAATTCAATAGGCGATGTTAGAAAGCTTAACAGTAACCGTACCGGAAACTAGTCAATTGACAGGATTTAAAATTCTGCGTTTTCTGTTGTTCCTTTAACTTTACATTATTTCCTATATTGTTCAATTAATCAGTTTTTAAATTTTTGCCTTTTTTTTGTTTCTGTTTCCTTAAAAAAATTTACCATCTAACTTGTTTACCTTTATTTTGTAGTTAGATATTTGACTGGTTACGATAAGAAAGTGTTAATAACGGGTTTAACACCAGGTCTACAGAATGCCAATTTGACGTACTGAATTTTATAAACATTATTTGGTAAATGTTTACATCGATTTTGATGAATGCAATTGCACGAATATGTACTCTAATTTTCTATCTTATCTAATGTCTAAGATCAAAATGAGCAAACATTAACTTCTCTAGGAACGATAGAATAAATTTGACAATAAATGTCCGTAAACCTACTGTTAATGAAATTTAGGATTTTAATATTTAATTTGTGTAATGAAATAAACCCTAAGAAAGTGTACAACAATTATAGGAGATTTATAGTTCCTGTTCCATAGTATTCTACAATGTATTCAAATCTCATTTGATTTAACCAAAGCATTAATTTTACTAAGTAGGAAACACGTTGACTCGATTTGTTGTTAATTGTCGTTACAATTTTTAACAGGCAATTTTTATCGCTGTGTTTCTCTGCCTAGAAACATAATTTCTTAATGCGTAAGTTGCTGCAAAATTTTCGGGAATACAGTATCATTCAATTGTTTATTGTCATAAAGCTTCACATTTTTAAGTTCAGAAATGTGCCGACTTAACACAGTGGCAAATGTGTCAATGTTAAAGGAGAATATTTTAAAAGCAATAGAACCATTAGTTCATACTTATTTGTAACTTTTCTCATTCTTCCCTGACGCTTTTGCAGCAACCCACGTAGATGATGTAATTTCATTTTTACAGTATATCTTTGATAATCGAGAATTTGGAGTTGTACAATCTTTCCACCTTCGTGATCAACAAGGCAAAATTGTCCCTGGTCGGACCCACAATCACCGCAAACGTATCCGTGCCACATGTGTATATCGAAGGCATCTACAACATATCCGGGATCCTTGGGGACATGGTGAAACTCCACGGAGATGGCCCATTCAGAGCGGACATCTACGATTTCCAGCTGTATGTGAATACAGTGCTCGGTTACTACAGGGGAATGTACCTGAAGACCTTCGACTTGGATTTCGATCTGAAGTCTATGGAGGTCCGGTTGGAGAACTTCATGGGGGACGAGGAACTCTCGAGGATTATGAGCAAGGCGAGATTATCATCAATTTATCAGTATCACCATATTCATAATTAATTGCTTCAATTGTTTATAGGCTTCATTGTCTGAATTTTATTGATGCATGTGGTGTTTTCTTTTGAAATTCATTACTGAAGAGGAAGATGTATAACTGTTGAAGAAGCATTGTATTTTTAGAACTCTGAACTAACCCTTTGCACTCAAGAGGGGCCTTTCAGTCCCTATCTGATTTAACGTAGCAAAATTATAAAATTTGAAATTCAATATTGGATTATGTGTAATGGGTCAGACATGGAACATTGAATTAAAATAGTTTTGTCCCTTAATTTATGTAAGATAATTCTTTGTGTTGGTTGCGAAAAATATCGTGAATAGTTCATCAGAAAGTAACGAATATTTGTAATAAAAAATATTGTTGAGTGCAAAGGGTTAATATTAAAAAGATGGTATTTTGAAATGGATACTATTATAAAATATAATTATTCGTTTATATAGAGTGGACTAATTTAGATAACGAGGAACACGGTTATTGTTAACATTTCTGAACAATCTTATAGCTTTGGTTCACGCTTAAGGTAATCCAATTACTAATAAGGTATTTAAACCATAATAATCGTCATCATCATTTCCTTTTGCATACCTCTCTCGCTGAAACTGTGCTCGCTTCTGTAATCTTTCTAGATTAAGACCAATTTATTTTGATGAAAAAATATTACAGACGGAAATTGACTTTGCATTCCTTTATTTGCAGGTCTTCCAGGAACTTACGCCAAAGGTGGTAGACATTATTAAACCAGACGTACTTCCGGGTATTCGGGATTATGTAGCAGGAAGAGTTAATGAGACTATTCATCATCTCTCTATGAAGGATGTATTATATGTCCTCCTGGGACAGAATCTCGATATTCGAGATTTCGCGGATTTATTGGTGCCCTAGAAATATTGTCTTGCCTATAGTATTCTTTAATGAACTCACAACGATATTCGGAGATCTTTAAAAAATTAATATAATGTTTTCCGTGGACGATTAGACGTTCAGTAGAGAAACAGGTTACATAGGTTCAATTAAATTGTTTTCGAAGGATGAGAAGAATTGTTTGATTACTTTTCAAGATGTTAAAAAATCTATTTCACCTATTAATTAAATAGTTCAACTGCAGTGGATATAGGAAGATTAGTGACACACGAAACCAAAAGAATCTAGTGATACAGCTTATTTTGTCAACAGGCAAGATAGAAGAGCTACCTTCGAAAGAAATGTGTAATTCCGTATTCGTGTCAATTCAGCGTTATCTAAAAATCGAATTCTCAGGAGATAGTAGACACATTCCTCCACGAAAACGTATTATCGAGTTCCATTGTCTAGAAGATGGTTAGTAGGGCCGAGAGCTGGAGCGAGAAATTCACGTCTGCGGCGAGTCATAGTAACGTAATTAAGATAATGTAACGTATAATGGATGAGAGATAGACGTGGGCGCAATAAAAAGTTTTCTGTGAGCAGAGGAGAGTTCAAGTTTCAGCTGGGAGCAACTTAACGGTTCAAGAAAAAGTCAGTTAGAAAGGTGAGACTGCTAACTTCTGGAACTCTTGCAGTAGGCGGTGAATGAAAACGTTGAATCTCCTTGCGAACGATAGTTAGAGGGGTTTGTTAACAGAAGAGCAACATGGACGATGGTTCCTTTGTCAAATAATTGGATAACGACAATCTCCTAAGTGAATTCTTTGTTCTGTGTCTCGAGTTCATTAAACTCTGGAGAGAGATAGAGGAATCATAGGTAGGTAAACAGATTTGTAATCTCTGCTGCCCAAGTTTTACTTTGAAGTTTCTATTGAACTTCTAAGAGTCGTTTTAGAAAAGTACCTAACTTACAAATTTTAGAATTTTCTCAGATCTTTCGAAAATTTTAGAAAATTATTCACCGTTATATCACTTCGAACATAGACTTAAGAAGTTCAAAGAATCTTAGGATGTTCCATTGAGTTATAAAACAGAAAATTCACTGAAACTTGAACGGTCCTTTGGTGAAATTATTTAGGTAGGCATTTTTTAAAGATATCTTTGAGTATGTTGGAAATATATGATCTATTATAAATTGTTTATCTTTTCTTTTTATCCTCAGTGCTTCCTGAACTTTTCATTCAATATCAGCAGTACTTCATAATTTTTAATTTATCGAACTTTCAGATAATTATGAATTAGACCTTAACGAGAGATAAGCTTTTCTAGAGTTCGAGGTGCAGGTTCTAGCAGTTTCTGGTCAGATATTTGGAGAAACAACATTGTCTGGAAATATTTGATGCGTCAGGACTATGGAAGGTACAAAAATGGAACCGCTCGTACGATTAGATTTCGTTTCGAAGAGTCTATTATTGTCTGGCGCATCGATTCAACGGTCTCCTGTTGGGGGACAAGGTATCACGCCCCATGTATAATTCATTATAGAGAGCGAAAGTATCAAAGCCTTGAATTAAATACCGTTTTACGAGCATACCATCATCATTTATTAACTCTTTCAACTTGTTCCATCGATACACTCTTAACACTAAAACTACCTAGCAGTTAAATTGATGTTTTGAAATTCCTCTATAGAAACTGCATCTCTTGAGACTTCAATTGATGTACAATTCAGTTTTTCTATTGCTAAATCAATTTCTTTAATAATTCCTCAGAGAACCATCCGTCATCTTTTTAATAATTGCAAAAACAAAAAATCAGGAAGTGGTCCATTTTGACCCCTCTGGTAGTTTTGTTGTTAAACCATCATTAACTTCAGTAAAAACATCTTCTCCATTTTATTAATTCACTTTAACGAACATTAAACAACTTACATTAATATTCTGTACCATTAACATAATCACGATTCAATTTTATATTTTTAGGTGCTCAATCAAGGGTTTCACTCTGAACACAATTCCTCATCATTCAAATTTCTTATTAAAATTATTCAAACCTTCTCACGAATAACAAATTGACACTGACATTCATACATTGCACGGTAATTACTCTTTGTTATTGTGTACCATTCGCTTAACCGATAACGTTGGAAAAACAATATTATTTACCAGAGAAGAATCATTGAGTGCAAGAAAACCATACGACAGCTGCCCCAGTCGTCTAAGATAGCTACCGTTATCAGCGATAGGGGACCGGGAACTGCGCAGTTTGATACAGTAAATGATTATCGGCCAACAAATTGATAATAATTGATGCCGACGATAATGTTTGCTAGAGATTACAGATAGAGATGTAGTAAGGTAACTAGATTACGTGGATGCCTGTCGCCGCCCTGATATACGTAGTTCAATTACCGGATTAATCAGCTAGACTTGGCTCTGTATGTATACAAGAACGCAAGGGTGTGACGACACGTTTAAATGACAAATATGTATTATAGTACCTTTAACGATCACGAAATTTCCCCTACAATAGATAATTGCTTTCTAGTTAATGGCACACGTTACTTTCATCATTAAAGAAAGCAATTTAATTGAATACCGTACATGTAGATTAGATCAATAATATTTTATTATTAACTCTTTACACTTGAAAGATTATCCACTAGAAATTAACTTTTGAAACCAACTTAACCCCTTGCTGTATGATTTATTTCTTAACTATGATACAACTACTTTATCGTTAATAATTTATTAGCAAGAGAACAAATTTTGATGCTTATTCTATGTTCACGTTTACTTCGAAAGTTATTTAATTTATATTTAAATAAAAATAAATAATACTTGCGTACCTCAAATTCAATTAAAAATTTTTGTTACGAGTCTGATATGACATTGTAGAACGGGTTAACGAAAAATCCCATACATTAAGTATTTTTAAAGTAAACTGTACAATTTTGCTACACCAAATCTATAACTACTGACAAGCTCCTACGGACTGCAAAGGGTTAAGCTACAGTTGTATATTCAACGTTTCATTTATTTTAAATCATAGAAAACGAAATCCAATATAAATTCATTTCTTCCGTATTCTGAAAAGTTTATCTTATAGTTTCCATCCTATTTTTTAAATATTGCAACATTGATCTCTTGCAGTTTGGGTAAACAGTTCATTTTATCATATAAAAGAAATGGATGTAATAGTTTTCAACAATGTAAAAGATCTTATAAAATGCACAAAAGCGAATAGGAATTACAAATTTAACGAATGATGTAGGTAAAGGAAAATTGAATGATTATTATCCTAGCAGTAATGAAAAGTTTGCCAATTTTTCAAGCAAACGTTTACTTATCGTTCAACTAGCGTGAATTATTCCTGCAAATTTGAGGAACCGCAGAGATTCGATTGCTTACTGTCGGGCCGTGCCTTTCGCGTATAAAAATTCGTTGACGTACGATGCACGCCGCTCGAGTCCTGTCCGTTTGATCTTCCACTTAGCGTGTTACGCGCGAATGGAATTTGTTATTCCACACGCAACTTCTTCGCCGATTCCTCGCCCGTGAACGCTGGCAAACAATATGCGCGCGTGACTCAGGCACTAACACGAGCAAATTGCAGTCTAAAAAGTGAACGGCATCTTATATAAATAATATTTGCAAATCACGTGGTTACATTTTACTTGAAACTTGTTCCCCGGTGTTCCGAGGCACTTTGCAATTGCGAATTTATATTTTCTTAATTAATTGCTTGTTTTTCGCACTATTATTCATTAAATTTTAGCGAATTAATTCGTTTTTAACGAATCAATCATTTTTAAATGAATTAATCAATTGTTTACTAGAACAATTAATTTTAATAAATAAGTTAAGTTTTTAATACAGCAATCGTTTTGAAATGAATGAATGAATTTTTTAATAGAACAATTAATTTTAATAAATATATTAATTTTGTAATAGAACAATTCATTTTATATTAAATTGGGATTTCAAACAATCACATACGTATTTTGTTAACAATTAGAACATAGACTATGCTAGTATTATAATCTCATTACAACATCATGGATCGCAATTAATCGTTGAAATACTATCCATTTTTACAATAATGTAATTCATAACATTATAACAATGCAATACCTAATTGTAGGATTAACCGCATGTTCGCAGATTAGAGAAAGAGTTTCCGAACGAATATTTCAGTTCATACGTGTACGAAGCATTGGGAGGACTTGATTTTCGGCTGACGGCGACACACGTGATAAAAAGCAATCGAATCGCCCGAGTCCATTATCATCGTTATCACCGATCCTCGTTAATACCGTTATCATTGATCACTAAATACTTCCACGTGCTCCCCGACACTGTCATATTTCGAGTGGCCCGAATCTGTTCAAAGTAAATTTCCCTAATGAATCCTTTCAGACCCCCCTTATCCAATCCAATAATTGATAATCATCATCCCTCGTTATCAGTATTTGGTGCTCAATCTGAATTGTGATCTGAAAGCTCTCCAACTCGCACGGAAATGACCATGGAATTGGACAGTCATTCTCTTATCCAACTGAAAAAATCAATTACGAGGATTCATATTTTATCAGGCTTCGTTTTACATTTTTATTAGGCGCAATAAGTTTTTTTCACGATAGTTTGATATCATTTTTTTTCGCAGGGCAATGAAACTGATAATGAAATATCTGATGGGCTGTATTCGAACACAATTTGTCCATTCATCTGTACATTCATGCCTCGCAACAGTGCGTTTTACAAGTATCGGTGCTTCATCGCGGGAACTGCAGTGCTACACCAGGAAATTACCCTCATACATTTCGTTTCATTGCTTCATAAATCATCCGTCTGATCTCAATTCATTTTATCATGAATTTCGGAGCGCTCCGTGTAATGGCGTCTGTTACTTGCCGGAACGATCTACTTTTCGTGGTAATTCATTTATTTATAAATAGACCATAATCGTTTAGCGATTTGGGAAACAGAATTGCGGAAACATGTGCTATATATAACGTTAGGAAGTTGGAAGTTGGAAGTTGGAAGTTGGAAGTTGGAAGTTGGAAGTTGGAAGTTGGAAGTTGGAAGTTGAAAATTGAAAATTGAAAATTGAAAATTGAAAATTGAAAATTGAAAATTGAAAATTGAAAATTGAAAATTGAAAATTGAAAATAGAATATCGTAAAATTACAAAAACAATTTTTAAATTGTAATTACTACTTGTGTCCATTTGTAGATATAATATTTGTTTTACAATTTTGAATAGAAAACAAGCAACGAAAGAGCCATACAGAAGTATTTTATAAATTAGCAAAATGTATTGTTTATAATCATTGTTACTCGACACGTTGCTGGGTAAAATGTTATTTCAAATGATACTTATTTTATTTAAAATCTTACAATGTATCTTTTATGCTGCAATCATTTCTTGCAACAGTATTTTACTTTGTAGATACTCAGAACATTGTTTACTTCATTTAAAAATATTACGATCCTCTGCATCACGATACAAATTTCTTTCCTCGGTTTACTCTTATCGTTGAAAAATATTTCAAGTACACATCTCAAATATAAGATTGGGATATATCGTTCACTGTTTCCGATTACCCAAACAAAAATATTTACATCCACTTAATCTTGAACAGATTTCGAAACATTTTTTTCCTCAAATTTTACCTAGCACTGTTTTTTAAAAAATTATGATACTTTCCATCTGCGGAATAGGATAAGTCAGGACGAGATGTTCCACTTTTTTTACAATAACTATAACATCATAAATATAAATAATACCTAACAGAAAAAGTTATATTTATGAGAGCAGATGCATAAAAATAGAACTGATCTATCTCAAGATTCTTATTTCACAAACATTAGAATGGATAACTTATTTATAATTTCTTACCAAAATTAGAATGGTTCTTTGTTTGAAATTTAAAATGTTTTCTAGTGTTCCACTTGCACAAATAGAGTAAGTCAAAATGTGTATATATTTTTATAGTCTTTAAATTCATTTACAGCTGTACTTGACTCGCAAAGTTCAATTTCTTTTAAATGTAATTAATCCTAAGTTAATGTAAATATAAATGTATAAGGCGAATAGTTAAACAAGTCTCTGTGCAAGATTCAACACACCACTAAAAACAATTGATCTCTAAACGAGATCAAACCATCTCATCCGGAATTGCCCTACAAGAAACTCACCCCTGACCGGGTTATTGTAAAAGCGCCTTTTCCGTCCGTTTTATTGTTCTGTCGAGTCGGTGTCACGCTCGCTATTTTTCATCCCACACGGAATGTCCGCGGAAAGCAACAGTTGGCGAGCGAGAAGCGTCGCGGAACGAAGACGGGGCGTGCGGCGGCGGCGCCGCGGTAGAGAGAGGAGGCAGGTAGAGACTCGGAAATCGGACATGCGTGAGATCATGCGATATAGAGCACCGCAGGAAGGCAGTCGCGCTTAAACGGCGCCCGGCGTTGGATGTGTAGACTTGTTTCCCGGTCGAGCTCCGATAAACCGCGTCGCATCCTACTGGTCTAATTAATTTTGTAATGGATCATGAACTTGGGGGGTGCAAAGTGACCGATCACAGTGTTTGTGCAACTTCGTTGACCGACGTCTGAATGAAAATGCTTATTTTTTATCAAATTTAAGCATAACTGGTAGCTAAAAGGCTTTAGTTTAACCGGACTGTGATGAAAACTAATTAATTTAATATAAATTGGAGCATAGACTCTAGTAGTGCTAAACTTGTAGTTTAGATGATGTTTAAACTCCATAGTGAAAAAGAGCGACACTTGTTTTGAGACTTGAGCAATTAATGAATGAGGCATAGGCTTGTCGAGTGAAGCAGGAAATAAACAAGAAAATTCCTTCCACTCTCGGGAAATACGTTCCCTCGTGAACTTTGTACAAATGTAAACTAACCAGATGTTACAATGATCAGTCGAGTATTGGAAGTGTCCATATAATGGAAGATGGAATTAGTGTGAGCAAGCGATGAAAGAGAAATACCAGGACACAAGTGAAGAGTTTAGTGACCATTGAGCACCTTTCCAAGCAGATTTTGCTAAAAATCTGATTAAACCGGTTTATATTGGACAGCCAGACTACGTCTGCCAATGAAGATAGTGGCATCACTTGGACTTTGTCAGCAGATAATTAATCAGTGTCTCTCTTGCATACCCTTTCCAATCTGGAAGATCTGAATCAAGTGAACATAGACTCGCATAAATAAAAATTTAGAAGAATAATATAATATTATTTACTGAAGATATTCTTTCACGGATTTAAATATTAGTCCTTGGATCATCAATGAAAATTCAGAGGATCGACGTCATTTATCTTTAATCCTCGCAAATAAAAACTCGCCGACTGATCATTGGCTGCCAAAGAAGTCCTCTTGGGGATCAGAGTTACTTTAAAGGAAATTGTCATGTAAATAGATCTCTCCACTTCCCCCCAGGGATGACAGTGATGCAAGACTGGGGACCGTCAATCTTTTTGTAGAAATTGGAACGTTTACAATTGGGCAGAAACGATCAGCAAGGCGTGAAGGCGACAGAAAGCTCTGTCATCCCTCTTTGCGATCGAAACGTCGGGCGGCTCTCTGTGCCCGTGTAAACAGGTGTCACGGCGCTCTTTCAGTCTCGCCGCTCTTTATAACGAACGCTGGCGACCAATTTCAAGTTTATACCATTCGTCAGCAAAATTGGATGCATTTTCAGCTCTGGCCGGATGGAATTCTTGTCATTGCTGGACGACTAATAGCTGAGAACCCGAGGGATTCGAAGGACAAAAGGATCTATTTGATGGGGATCTTGTAAACTGCAATCTCTGGTGAGTGCCCATTAGTAGCTACAGCTCTTCAGTATTCTTTAAATTGTGATAACAACTCTTTTTTGACACCAGAACTACCGAGCAATTAAAGTGATTTTCCTATAATGTTTTAGAAAAATGGAAAAAGTGTATTTTTCGAGATTTTGTACTGACGTATTGATAGAAATACACAGATCTGGCGTATAATTTTTCACAAAAGCATCAATCATCACAGTTCTTATAATTGTGAAATAAGAATTTCTGGATGGATCATTTTGACCGGTTTGGTAGTTTTAGTATACAGTTTGTTCTATTGTCACTAGAAAAATTTATATATGTTTAATTAAATTTTGGAGATTAGTTTGGTAATAGATAATTGAGATAGATACATACAGCTCTGTGTAATTGCTTCAATCGAAAACGGCGGTAAACATTTACAAAATAATATTTATAAAATTCAATATCACTAATAAAATTCTAATTGATGCGTGCTGTAAACCTAGTGTTAAATACAAAAACCAGAACATTACTTTTTAGGAATCATTAGCAGAACTATTACATAATTCTAATTATTTACTGTAGGATCTGGTCTGGGTTAGCTATTAGGTTGATCAATGTGCTAGAGTAATAATCTAATCATAATATCTTCGATTGCAATTAATCATTGAGTTACCATCTATTTTGATAATAAAGTAATTTATAACGTTATTATAATGCAATACCTTTAAATCATTTTAAAAATTCTGCCCTTTTTAATACAGAAACAAGTGCAATATTTCTCATGAATTAGTGTAGCAATTATTACATAATTCCAATTATTTTTCAGTAAATAAAATTCTTAGAAAAGTTTGCTGTAGGACCTGGTATAGGTAACAGGAAAACGAATAGATTGGATTTAAAAGAGAAGATTACGAGACAAAGAAAATGTTACTTCAGAACATTATGTATATCAGCGATATATATTTATAAGTTTGAACGTAAGAATGATATTTAAGTTTTGTTCCGTGCATAAATTATAAACTCAACTTAACAAGATAATTAATAACAGGTGACACAAATTCCAAATGAGATAACATTGTTGCAGAATATATAATTTCAGATACAGTATAATTTTCAAAGTCTTCAATACTTTTCATTAAAAATTCTAAAGTTAAAATCTTTTAATGCAGTAAAGACCTCATACGGGTTTCCCTTTTTCATGCGAGAAGCTGCGTACAAATTAGCACAGGATAAATGTAATAGGTAATTTGGACGGTAAAGGGCATCTGTTCTGAAACAGGTTTCTCTCTGTGTCCAATATTTGAGAGTAGACATTCGCCTGATGAAGGGCCCTGAATTTGATGAAATCCAGCTACCTTTTAATTTAATACTCACTCTGATCTCATTTTAGGAATTCGTTACTGAAATAACCACCAGAGACTCACAATTTGAAGATTTGGGGGTTGACAACTGTCTGATGAAAAACTTGGAAGCACCATATTTTTTTCAGCTACAGAAACTAATAGTTAGACTTCCGTCTCGGACCTGACCTAGTCTTATTCTTGGAATTTATTATCACGAGATAAAGTTGAAGTGTGATGGATGATCGGTTGCAGGAGTAGAAAGCAGATAAGGTTATTAAAAATTTGAAAACTCGAAGACTGTACTAGACAGAAAGTAGTCAACACTGTGATAGCACAAATGATGGTTGTATCAATGAATAATAACCTTTTTTTCAGACTTGTTGACAAGAATAACAACTTCTGCTATTGAAGTTAATAATTAGTTTCTTAACCCTTACTGGCAATATGGACACACCTACTTATGGTCACACCTGATTTATCATTGTTGTGAATTTTGTAAAAATCTGGAAATATTCTAAGATATTTATTGTATTCCCTACTTTTATATACAAATGACACTTTTGCCAAATCTTCGTATAATTTTGTAGTAAAAATTCAAAATCGAAGTGACATCATGGAAAAATGAGATTCTACTTAGAGGTGTGTAACTTTGTAATAAGCAAATATTGAAAAAAGATATTGTAGGATTTTAGTCATAAGACTCTATGATACTTCAAAAATATGAAGAGATCTGACAGCCCTTAAAAAAGTATAATTATTTTGAGACTTCAATTCGGGAGATTTTTGAGTACGTTGCATTAGTAGAAAATAAAATAAAGCATTACTCTAAAAAATAAATTTATAAATGATACATAAAAATATATTACAAACAAATTACAAAATATAGATATTGAATGCAACAATTTTTTCAATAATTTTTTCAATGTGTTCAGTGCTCTCCGCACACTACTGCTTTGCATTGAATACTTGCAAAACAGTAACATGGGTGGTCTATATGGATTATTAAAGATCACTTGGGTTATCTAATCTCTATAAGTACAAGATTTTTTAAGTGTTAACCCTAAACAATGAAATTTTCGGCAGGACCATAAATGGTCCATATTGTCGGCAAAGTGTTAATTACTTAACATAGGTATTCAATTTTATAATAAGTAAAGAACGGTGTAGATATGAGTTACCTGATATTATTATCTTGATTTACATTCAGTTTTATCATCTTTTATCGAATATTACTAAAATACCATTTTTTTTATTTCTTCATTCTGTCGGGTGCGGCTGTACTAGTGCTAAATAAAATTTTAAAACCGGTCACGGTAGGTTTAGTGTTAAGGGGAGGTCACACCAAAAGGCGACCTACACATCAGTAAATTTTACCAATTTATTTGTTAATAATATTGAGTGAACACTTCTGATTTCTTCTGAATGTATAATTGTAATCTTTTTCTTAGTTAAAATATTACGTTTTTTTTTAAATTTACGTTTTCTTTTTCTAAGTTAAAATATTACAAAATGGTGCAGGTATTCGCTAGGTTCGGAATCCCTTTTTGTAAAACATGCCAACCTAAAAAATTAGTTTCAAATGTTTATGACAAATGAAATAATTAAGATACCGAAAAAATTCTACGCTACATTTCAAATAATATATTCCTATTTGTAAATCCACGAAAATTGTTTTGAAAATTTGTTTGGCCCTTGCACTTTCACTGCTTGTCATTTGTATAATAATTAAAATTTCGGAAAATTGGCATGCTACATTTTAGATCATATATTTCTATTTATAAATCTACCAAAATTTTTACCTTCGGATATTTCAATTTGCAGTTGAAGCCGCAAACAATGGATGCTTCACAGAAAGAATTCCGAACCTAGCAAATAACTGCGCCATTTGTAACATTTTGGCTTAGAAAAAGTATAAGTATAAATCGGAAGATCTCAATTATACACTCAGAGAAACTCAAAAGTTTTCACTTAATAGTCATCCACAAGAAAATTCCAGTAGTTCACCTATGTTTAGAACGTCTCTAGGTGGGGTTCCCCCTTAATCACTCGCGTTCGTAACGATTTCAAAGACTCGATAAGATCTCACGCGAAGAATTCCGTTCTCACCTATTATATACAGATATGTACACTAGTTTTGTTTATTAACAATCGTGCACAAACTGGTAGATTTTAAAACAATCCGAAATATGTAATCCGATAAGACTATCTATGTGTATAATGTGTCGTTGCCGATGTTGGAACAAAAACATCATGTCTTTTTGAAACTGTAATATATCATTAACAATGTTGTAACAAAAACGAGCTTCCCAGCGCAAGTAATTAACTGCTCATTCATATATCATTGCATTTTATTAAAACTTTTCCGTTACGATACGTCAGTGCGAGATTCTCGGCAACAATTTGGTCGCGGCGTTCCCCGAAAATGCAGCTTTTATGCTTCGCGAAAAGTCTCAAGGCGACTGCTGTGTCGAAAAGGAAAAAAAAATAGAGTCCGGCATCTTGTAAATAAATTCGCGAAAAGGCCGCTAGGTGGGCGGGAGCGGTGGCGTTTATTAAGGTCAGCGTTGGGAATCCGCGTCGGATGGTCGAGAGGCGGATTTAATGCTCCTCTTGATCCCATCCGCGGTCCGGCCGAGATAAAACGCTATCATAATCGGCGGCTCTCGGGATCGCGTGCCGCGGAGCTAATACTTTATAAATAAACACCGAAGAGGAGGCCTGCCTTCTAATCGTCAACGCGTGTCGTTAACTTCACTTCTCGCTAACTACAAGTCCTCGATCATGTAATAAGTATTATTAACCCATTTGCATCATACAGAAAAGTGGGAAATTGCTCCTTATCAGCAAAAATGTTTTTTTTTATGCCGCGTGTATTAACTTTATTGCACTAAATGAAATTATGAATTCTTTGCTTACGCCAGTATGCGTTTAATTTTCCATACGTTTTGAACCATTTTTATTTTGACACAATAAAAAGCATGTTTCGTGACAAGGAGCAAATTTCCACTTTTCCGCATGATGCAAATGGGTATATAATAAAAAAATAATCAAATTCAGTATTTCATTTTATTGAATAAATTGCATTAACATTCCTTTGCAATACCCTGGAAAACTTTGGAGTACAAAGGGTTAATTTCTCGATTGAGACCTTTTTAATGACTACCAACGTTTGGATACGTTACTTATTACTTAACAATATTTAATACATTATGTCTTATTGCATAATAATATTCTAGTTCCGATAAGATTTATTTCTGGCCACAGAACATGTTTTGCCATCGCGCGGCGCTAGGTACCATTCAGCGTTAGGGGGATTCCCCCTGCTACTTTGCGCTCGCAACAGATGTGTTAATATCGCGGCGCAACGAGAGCATTTCTTTAAATAAACAACCACTTGCGCGATCGCGAAACTGTTACCGGATCAGCTGGGATTGATGTAGGACTCTTGAAATTGAGACTCTTGTTTGTACAATCAATTCCTCTCGAGCGTGCGGGGGAATTGCTGATAGTATTTGTAAGGGGAGACCCGTACTCTTTCACTCTTTGTAAACATGCTTAACTCGCTTCTTCGTTACAGATTGTATCATTGGACTTTGCTAACAAGAAATCTTGCGATTTACA